GCGGCATTAACATTGTCGGAGCGGAGAAGAGTAGCTGAACAAGAAAGCATGAGTGAGACCATTCAGCAAATGAAAGAGCAGGTGATGAACCTCGCTCGTCAACCTACTACTTCGGCTCCCGATGACACCGACGATGAGAGTGATGAGGATGATTATGTAGAACCCACTCCCTAGTTTAGATCTCTAGACATTTATGAACTTTTTGTAATTTTGAAATGAATTTTGAAAGACTTTGTAAGTCTTTAATTTGTGATTTAGATACTTTTTAATGTTATTTCTAGTTTGTTTAGATTGTTTATAATTGTGTGTGTTTGATTGGGCTAAATAGCGTAGAATTGAATTGAATTGCATTTGCAGGTGGGCAGTAGAAACTGCCAATTTTTGTTGTCAAAAATATTGCAAGAAAAGCGACGGACAACGTGGTTTTGTCCGTCGCTTTTCTGGAATTTTCAAAAATAAAATTTCCAGAAAAGCGACGGATTGCGTCGCCTTTTAGAAATTAAAAAAAATAAAATTAAAATAAAGTAACAGAGTTCGTCGCTTTTGTTAAAAAAAATAGTCAAAAAGCGACGTAATCCATCACTTTTTGAAAAGTGTTAGGCTAAAACGCGACAGAGTTGACTGCATCGCTTATCCGTCGATTTTGACCAAAAAAGCGACGCAGCCCGTCTCTTTTGGCTGTCATTTTTTGACAATTCTTTAGTAGTGAGTGTTGATGGATGGTGAACTGATTCTGGTGCAAACCGTCATGTTTGTTATGAGAAAGACTGGTTTAAAAAATATACTCATTTTGAGGAGCCCAAAACCATCATGCTTGGTGATTCACATACTACTCAAGTGATTGGAATGGGAGATGTCGAATTGTGTTTTAACTCTGGAAGGGTGTTAACTTTGAAAGATGTACTTTATACTCCTTCCATGAGAAAAAATTTGATATCTAGTTTTCTTCTTAATAAAGCAAACTTTAAACAGATTATTGAATCTGATCAATATGTAATAGTGAAGAAGGGTATTTTTATGGGGAAGGGGTATGCTTGTGATGGGATGTTAAAACTGAATGTTGAGATGAATAAAGTTCTACTTCTGTTTATATGCTTTCTTCTACCAATTTTTGACATGCTCGTTTGTGTCATATTAATGACCGTTATGTTGGAATCATGAGTAGTTTAGGATTAATCCCAATGGTTAAAAAGAATTTTAGAAAGTGTGAGGCTTGTAGTAAAGCCAAAATCACTAAATGGCCTCATTGTCAAGTTGAAAGAAAAACTGATTTGTTAGAATTAGTTTATATTGATATTTGTGAACTTGGAGGAATTTTAACTCGTGAAGGTAATAGGTAGTTTATCACTTTCATTGAAGATTTTTCTAAGTTTATATATGTTTACTTGATGAAAAATAAAAGTGATGCTTTTGAAAATTTCAAAACTTATCTCCATGAGGTTGAAAATCAGTTTGGTAGAAAAATAAAAAGAATTAGAAGTGATAGAGGCCGTGAATATGAGTCAAATGAGTTTAATTATTTTGTTAGATGATTGGGAATAATTCATGAAACTACTCTTCCTTATTCTCCTTCATCTAATGGTGTAGCGGAAGAAAAAATAGAACTTTGGTTGAATTGACTAATGTCATGCTTATTGAGTCACATGCACCTTTAAGTTTTTGGGGTGAAGCTATTTTGACTGCTTGTTATGTGTTGAATCGTGTGTCTCATAAAAAGTCTAAATTGACACCTTTTGAATTGTGGAAAGATTACAAGTCAAGTTTGGGATATCTAAGAGTTTGGGGTTGTCTAGCCTTTGTGAGGCTAATGGATCCCAAGATTACAAAGTTGGGTAAGAAAGTTACAACTTGTGCTTTTCGTGGTTATGCTTCAAATAGTACAGCCTATACATTTTTTAATCTTGAAGATAATATTATAATTGAATCATGTGATGCTATTTTTCATGAAAATAAATTTCCATTTGATTCTAAAAATAGTGGGGGTCAAAGGATTGAACAAAATATTTTGTCACGACCTAGTTCTTCTACTTCTACTTTGAAAAATAAAGAAGTTAATGATTTTGATTTAAGAAGAAGTAACAGAGCTAGAGTAGAAAAATATTTTGGTACTGATTTTTATGTGTTTAATGTTGGAGATGACTCTCTCACTTTGAAAGAAGCATTATCTTCACATGATTCCATTTTTTGGAAAGAGGCTGTAAATGATGAAATAGAATCACCGATTTCGAATAAAACTTGGAAGTTAGTTGATTTACCACCGGGTTGTAAAATTATTGGTTGCAAATGGGTCTTAAGAAAAAAGTTGAAACCGGATGGATCTATTGATAAATACAAGGCTAGACTAGTCACAAAAGTTTTTTAACAACTAGAAGACCTAGAATTTTTTTATACTTTTTCTTCGGTAACAAGAATTACATCCATTAGACTTTTAATTGCTATGGCTGTAATTTTTTATTTACAAATTCATCAAATGGATGTAAAAACTGCTTTTCTAAATGGAGACCTAAATGAGGAAATTTATATGGATCAACCCGAGTCTTTTGTTGAAGCAGACCAAGAAAGCAAAGTGTATAAACTTACTAAATCCCTATATGGCTTGAAACAGGTACTAAAGCAATGGCATGAAAAGTTTGATTCCTGCATGATTGAAAATAGTTTTAAAACAAATGAGTGTGATAAGTGCATATATCATAAGTCTTGGAATAATTTACATGTGATTATTTACCTATATGTTGATTATTTATTGATCTTTGGCTCTAACATGAATGTTATTGATGAAGCTAAAAATGTTCTTAGAAGCCATTTTGATATAAAGATCTTGGTCAGGCAAATTTTATTCTTGGAACAAAAATAACAAGAACATGTGATGGAATTTTCCTTGACCAGTCACATTATGTTGAGAAAATTTTGAAAAAATATAACTTTCTTGATTGCAAGCATGTTGCTACTCCTTTTGATTCAAGTGTTCACTTATTTCTTGTTGAAAGTGAAAATGATATAATAAATCAAAAGGAATATGGTAGCATAATCAGAAGTTTGAGATATGTGACTGATTGCACTAGGCATGATATTGCATATGCAGTAGGAGTACTTGGCAAGTTTACAAGCAAGCCAAGTAATGAACATTGGCATGCTATAACAAGAGTAATGAGATATTTAATTGGAAGAAAAAATTGTGGTTTGTTCTATAAAAAATATCATGTTGTACTTGAAGGCTTTTGTGATGTAGATTGGAACATTTTATCAGGTAATTCATGTTCTACCACTAGTTATGTTTTTACTTTGGGTGGTGGTGCTATTTGTTGGAGATCAAATAAGCAAACTATAATTGTTAACTCTACCATGGAGGCTGAACTAATTGCTTTAGCTTCAGCTAGTGAGGAAGTGAATTGGTTAAGAGATTTATTGTTTCAAATTAAATTCCTTATTTTGAAAAAACAATTCCTCCTATTTTAATTCATTGTGATAGCACTGTTGCGATTGGTAGAGTTCAAAACCGTTATTACAACGGTAAATCTAGACCTATAAGGAGGAAACACAGTAATGTAAGATCGTATTTGACAAATGGTACCATTAATGTTGATTATGTCAAATCTTGTGATAATCTTGCAGATCCTCTTACTAAGGCATTAACGAGAGAAAAAGTTTGGAGCACATCGAGGGGGATAGGATTGACACCTATAAATCCTTGAGTCATATATGAGGAAACCTAACTTGGGGACTAGGGATCCTATAACCAGGTTTAAAGGGAAAAACTAATCATATGATGATTTGTTGTGAAAAATGCACTATCTTTTTATTCCCTCCCTATGATGTGAGTGCATTGTTTCCTGTAGTGATTTGTGAAGGTTGATTTCACAAAAACTCTTAATGAATATATATAGCCCATATGGGTAGAGTGTTAAGCTTATAGGAGCACTCTCGACAGATTTCACCTATGTGATGTGTGGAAGTAGGTCGCTTCCTATAAAAATTTGGCTTATTCTCAAAAACACTCATGAAACCGGGATAGCACAAGGCAGTAACGTGATGGCTTTAAAGCTCATGGCAACACCTTGATTATTATGTGTGGACAATGATATTTTATTTTCCTCAAGCAGTCATTGTTCAAGTCTAAGACCACTATGACTCTGGAGTAAAAGTTATTGTTTCACTAAGTGGAGGTTCAATGCAGAACACACCTTCATTATGCATGGTAGTCTTCCTTCAGCTGATATACTCTCTTATTTAATATTAAAATGAGTGGGAATTGTTGGTCATCATTTTAATATTAATATTTTTGTATATTAATTTGCTTGAAATGTTTGGAGTCAAAGTATTGCATTTGTTGTAAGTTGTCCGTTGGTGGATAATTCTTTTGTCTTAACCGTTGGGCAGTTATTTGGAGCATTACTCCATTCGGAGTAAGTGCTGATGTTATGACCATTTCTTGCAGCATCGGTAGTGGCATCTTGGTCATTACTTCTCCATATTATTTCTCCATTATCTCATTCTTTATTTCTCCATTAGTCTTTGTAACCTATGTAACTCCTAACGCAATTTAACTTCACTATTTACCACTTCATTATCTTCCTATTTATTCCTAGGAAGACTTCTTCTACTATAAATAGTGGTAGTCTTCATTTGGTTTGTTACACACAACACACAAGAAAAATATAGAGAGGAAAAAGTTAGTCAAAAAAAAGAGTTCTTATTAGTTGAAGGAGGTGTTCTTTTGTAGAGCTTTGAACTCAACTCTTGTACAGAGCTGTTGAGTTGTACTTTGTGTTAAGGCTGTTTTATCCTGGAGGGGACAAGTCAAGAAGGATTACTGCTGGACCAATGAAAAATATTTGTTGCAGTGGGCTTGAATCTCCTTAAAGAGAACGAGATATCTGCGCCTCAGCCTGAAGAGATTTATTTCTTCATTTTTATTTTCAATTGTAATCGTGCAATTTTATTATCTTGTAATTTTTCACTAACAGTATGTATTAATTACTACTTTGTAACTTTGACTTTAGGGTTGTGATGCTTCTATCTTATTTGATGAGACCCATACGCTTTTTAATGAGAAGACTGCATTGCCAAATCTTGGGTCAACTAGAGGTTATGGTATTGTAGAAGATGCAAAAAGAGAGGTTGAGAAAACATGTCCAGGAGTTGTATCATGTGCTGACATACTTGCAGTTGCTGCTAGGGATGCATCTACTCTCGTAAGTATCCCTAGTTTGAAATTGAATTATTATTATTTTTATACTATAAAGAAGGACGTGTCGTCGAACACTAACCAACATTATGTAAATAATAATCATGTTGGAGGTCCATCATGGACGGTAAAATTTAGAAGAAGAGATTCAACCACTGCAAGTCATACTCTTGCAGAAACTGATCTTCCTAGTCCTTTTGATCCTCTTGATAGACTTATTTCTGGCTTTGCCAAAAAAGGCCTTAGCACAAGGGATATGGTTCCTTTATCAGGTAAAATTTGTTCGAATTATTGAACATAGAATTTTGTCGATCATAATACTTGTATTGTCTAATCATGATTTCTATTTTGTGATTTTAGGATCACATTCAATAGGTCAAGCACAATGCTTCCTTTTCCGTGATAGAATTTACAGCAATGGAACAGACATCGATGCTGGATTTGCTAGCACTAGAAGACGTCGTTGTCCTCAAGAAGACCAAAATGGTAACCTAGATCCACTTGATGTGGTTACACCTAATCAATTGGATAACAACTACTTCAAGAACTTGAGGCAAAAAAAAGATCGTCTTCAATCAGATCAAGTTATTTTGAGTGGAGGATCTACAGATGATATTGTTTTAGAATATAGCAATAGCACTCACATATTTGCCTCTGATTTCGCTGCTGCCATGGTTAGAATGGGAGATATTAGTCCGTTAACGGGCCAAAATGGGATCATTTGTGGCTCCATAAATTAATATTTCGAAAGTCAATTACATGTATTGTTTCCAAATTTATTTATTCATTTGATTATTTTCCTATTGAATGTATTTGATCAAGAATGAAATAAACATTTTGTTATGTTCTGAGATGTTAAAGTTTTGACGGATGTCCTTAACTGCACACCACGCTCCAAATTAAACAGTGAAATTTTAAATAAATTATATTTGAATTCGGGTGTAAAGAGGGTGCTGATGAGAATGATCCCACATCGGATAGGAAAGAAATGTGAACATATACTCCACATTAGTGAACTCAATATATCGTGATTGAGTAATTTAACAAAGTAAACCTATTATAATAATTGTCATTAAGGGCAAAAAGTCTATATGCAAATACATTTCTGATGAAAAAAACACAATAAATCTTTGTAAAGGAATTAGATCAGTAGAAAAGTACAAAAAAAAACAGGTATGCATTATAGCTTCAGTTTATCGGTTTTCAATTTTTAAATAAGTTAAATTAATAAGATATTTTTTTTTTTATCAATTTTTGATCGTTAACAATTTAATTTTTGGTTTATCCAATAAAGAAATGCTCATAAAATAAATATATGACTTCTCATTTCTCTAATAATTTTGTGTGATATAGTGAAACAAGAAATTAGTTGTAAATGTTTTTATATGGTGAAACAACAAAGATAATATTTAGTTAGGTAGATTGTAGTGTACTAGAGCATTGATATAATGTTTAATTAATTATGTTAAATTATTAATATTTAATATTTATGAAGGGTAAAGTAGTAAAATACTATTGTCTTAATGGGTTATCGATTTATCCAATAACCCAATACTAAAAATCAAAATCAAACCGATAACCCAATAATTATTTTTTTTTGTAAAACCATTAAAAACCTATAAATCTAATAAAATATTTTCAATTTGATTTATTGATCGGTTCGATTTTTTCACAGCCCCTACTCCTGTTAGCCAAAACTGTGGCAGGAGATGTTGACAATAATGTGAATTCTTTTGAATAAAGTATTAGATGCTGTTTTAATTTATAAAATTTCGATTTTAATTCTATTATGTAATTGTATATAGCTTGCTGACTTTGACGTTCAACTAATATAATACCTAAATATATGTTGTTGAAAATGACATTTATGCATGCCATTATTTATTAATATAATATTTAATTCATGAAGCTTCCTAGTACGTAGTACAAACGTTCTTTATTAAATTAATTAGAGAATTATAATAAGATCTCTAGATAGATATTAATCTGATAAATAATAATATCTGAAATTATAATAAAAATAAATTAAAATGACTTTTATCCTTCTCAGTTTATTAAACTTTGTCCAACTAAAAATAAATCTTCAACTAAATTACATATTTTAATAATGCAGTTGACCTTTGACATTTCAATTCATAATAATTGTTCCTTTTACTTTCTTATGTCAGCCAACGATTATAAATTAATAATTGAAATTTTCAACATTATGTAAATAGCAATCAGGTTGAAGGTCCATTCATGGATAGTAAAACTTGGAAGAAGAGATTCAACCACTGCAAATCATACTCTTACAGAACCTGATCTTCTCGGTCCTTTTGATCCTCTTGATAGACTTATTTCTGGCTTTGCCAAAAAAGGCCTTAGCACAAGGAATATGGTTGTTTTATCAGGTAAAATTTGATCAAACTATTGAACATAGAATTTTATCGATCATAATACTTGTATTGTCTAATCATGATTTCTATTTTGTGATTTTAGGATCACATTCAATAAGTCAAGCACAATGCTTTCTTTTCCATGATAGAATTTACAGCAATGGAACAGACATCGATGTTGGATTTGCTAGCACTAGAAGACGTCGTTGTCCTCAAGAAGACCAAAATGGTAACCTAGCTCCACTTGATTTGGTTACACCAAATCAATTGGATAACAACTACTTCAAGAACTTGAGGCAAAAAAAAGGTCTTCTTCAATCAGATCAAGTCCTTTTGGGTAGCGGATCTACAAATGATATTGTTTTAGAATATAACAATAGCCCTCGCACATTTGCCTCTGATTTCGCTGCTGCCATGGTTAGAATGGGAGATATTAGTCCGTTAACGGGCTAAAATGGGATCATAGGAACTGTTTGTGGCTCCATAAACTAATATTTCGAAAGCCAATTACATGTATTGTTTCCAAGTCTATTTATTCATTTGATTATTTTCCTATTGAATGTATTTAATCAAGAATGAAATAAACACTTTGTTATGTTCTGAGATATTAAAGTTTTGACCAATGTCCAATGTATCACATTGTAGCTAATTCGTTTCAATGATTAAGCTAGAATAGCCTCAATACTGAAAATACAACGACCTCCATATTAATTCATGGAATAATGAAAGAGAAAAAATTACCCATCATTATATCAAACAATAATTGAGAAATAATTAAATTTCATGAGTTATGTTATGTATATATTTATTTCCAAACGTAACATCAATTACTATTCCAAAAATTCTCTTGCTCTTTGAGTTAGTTTTTGAGGGGTAAGGTCTAACGTCAAACTTGATATGGTATTAGAGTCAAACCTAGTGTGTGGGTTCGATGTGCGCTCGGACCATGCAAGGTTATATATGAATATACTCCCGGTCCTTAAATGCCCGACACGCTCCAAACTAGACAGTAAAATTCTGAGTAAATTATATTTGAATTTGGGTGTGAAGAGAGTGCTGATGAGAATGATCCCACATCGGATAGAAAAGAAAAACTTTGAATCCCTTATAATGTTTGAATAATCCTCATTCCTTTGAAGTATTTTTGGAATGTGAACATTTACTCCACATTAATTAACTCAATTTATCGTGATTGAGTAATTTAACAAAGTAAACATATTATAATAACTGTGATTAAGGGCAAAAAGTCTCTATGCAAATGCATTCCAAGATGATGAAAAAAACACAATAAATCTTTTTAAAGGAATTAGATTAGTAAAAAAGTACAAAAAATTCAGGTATGCATTATAGGTTCGGTTTATCGGTTTCCAATTTTTAAATACATTAAATCAATTATATATTTTTATCAATTTTCGGTTGTTAACTGTTCAATTTTTTATTTACCCAATAAAATAATGTTCATAAAATAAATATATGACTTCTCACTTCTCTAATAATTTGGTGTGATATAGTGAAACAAGAAAATTAGTTTAAATGTTTTGATATGGTGAAACAAGAAAGATAATATTTAGTTAGGTAGATTGTAGTGTACTAGAGCATTGATATAATGGTTAATTAACTATGTTAAATTATTAATATTTAATATTATAAAGGGTAAAGTAGTAAAATACTATTGTCTAAATGGATTATCAATTTATCCCATAACCCAATACTAAAAATCACAATCGAATCGATAATCCAATTTTTTTTAATAAAACCATTAAGAACCCATAAATCTAACAAGATTTTTTTCAATTTGATTTATTGATCTGTTCGATTTCACACCTCTACTCCTAGTAGCCAAAACTGTGGCAAGAGATGTTGTTGACAATAATGTGAATTCTTTTGAATAAAGTATTAGATGTTGACTTAGGGATGTACATGGCCGGGTTAGTTCGGATTTTCAAATATCAAACCAAATTATTTGTTTCAGATTTTTAAATTTATAAACCAAACCAAATGAATCAACCTCGGATATTTTTGGATTTTTTTAGGTTTTTCGAGTTTTTCTGGTAAAGTATTCATACAAACATATAATTTACTTGTACTTCAAATATTTCTTTAGTCCTGCCAAAATACAACTTTTTAAGGTGTTTCTTAAGAAAATAACACAAATTATTATATGGGTAATGACACTAAAATATCCAACAAAAAAACAATAATAATGAAATCACGTAAAATAAATATTGCAAATTAACAAGTCATAACGAAAATGATCATAATTTAAAAGTACTAAATCATGCTAAAATAGGTTTAATAAGTATTAGTTAAATGGCTAAATATTAAAGGAAATTAAAATTAGAATATGTGTTTGAATTGTCTAAACCAATGTAAAACCAAAGAACAAATATTCAATGTTATTGTCATTTTTAGTGTTGAATTGATTTTCTTTTTGCATTAGTATTAATTTGATTTTGATTTAAATTTTATTATAATCATCAACATTTGTGGACTATAATCTTAGACAAATTTGACATTTCATTATTGAACCATTCAGTATTCTAAGTTTCAAACTTGAAATAATATATTAAATGATAAAAACTATGAAAAAGTATAAGAAATATTTAAAAATTATATCAAAGTATATATTTTTATGTATAAAATAAAATTTTAAAATTATATATAATGTCGGGTTGGTTTGGTCTCGGGTTGGTTTTTTTTAGTTAAAACCAAACCAACCCTAATATAGTCGAGTTTTTTTTTCAATACCAAACCAAGTCAAACCAATCACTAGTCGGGTTTTTTTCTCGATTTGCGGTTTGATTCGATTTTCGATTCAATTTTGTACACCCCTAAATGTTGTTTTAATTTATAAAATTTCGATTTTAATTCTATTATGTAATTGGATATAGCTTGCTGACTTTGACTTTCAACTAATATAATGCCTAAATATATGTTGTTGAAAATGACATTTATGCATGCCAGTATTTATTACTAATATAATATTTAATTCGAGCTTCCTAGTACCTATGACAGTATTTAATTAGAGAATTATAGAAAGATCTCTAGATAGATATTAATCTGATAAAAAATAATATTCGAAATTATAATGTAAAATCCACATTATAATAAAAAATAAATTAATATAATTTTATATCTTTTTTCTCAGTTTATTAAACTTTATCCAACTAAAAATAAATCTTCAATTAAAATACATATTTTAATAATGCAGTTGACCTTTGACTTATGACGTTTCAATTCATAATAATTGTTCCTTCTATATGTCTGCCAGAACACGATTATAAATTAATGATTGAAATTTTCCCAAAATAGAAAGGGATTTGTCAAAGACAAGATGATGTATATATATGACTATAATGATTAAT